TACCGGAAGTGTCGTGTGAACTTATCTACTTACCACAGTACGAAATGAGAACCGCCCAAAACGGCTGCTTAGATAAAAAAAATACATATATCAACAGACGAAATACCGTTTCGAGGTTTCACGTGGAAATAGAATCATACTAATTCTTAAAGACTTAATTAATTAAAAAAAATTCACAAACATATACTTTGACATATGTTACCTCAAACTCGTCTGGGAAAGAAATAATCGACCAACGCAAAGCATAATGCGCAGGGATTTTCGTCACTTTCCGTGAATGAGGGTCTCTTACACGGAAAGTGCCGAAAGGCCCCGTCTCTTAATTTTATTACTACTAACACTTGACTGTTTACTAACGATATCTGTCTGAATGAAATTTCCTTTGGGATGACATATGAAAACACTGTAACTTGTGTGAAGCAACGCCTACATACTTTAATGCTTCAGTGAAGCCTTAAAAATCAGACATTTCAACGTGATAAAATATGTATATACATTACGTATCAATATTTTAGTCGAATTTCGCTCACTTTTAAGCAATGCCTCATTCATATTGATCTCATTTTGAGAAAATTTCCATTACTCAGATTGGCGTTGATTTACGTGGCAGATTTTGTCTTTCCGGAGCATTCATCATACGTTCATTAGTTTGATTTGCGGTTTTTTTTTAACATTGTGTGTAGCTTTTTAGTATACGACCCTAGCGGATCTCTCTACAAATATCTACCTTAATCATGTTTTCTTTAGGATAATGTTGACAGAATTTAGAAGTTTACTTATATCATTCCCTAAATAAAAAATAGTACTGTATATCGCGCTACTGGTGCGATACAGGTACAGAAAGCTCTACAGTTAAACTTAGCTACTGCTGTAGATCATATCAACGTCAACCACACAACCAGTCTGACAGTCTGTGGGAGGTTTAATTTCTCTCCTTCAATGTTTATAGATTTATGTAAAGAACAAGTATTTGTGAATCATGTAATTCCCTTGTCTATGTAATCGTTTAACTTGTTTACTACTTTGTTATCTCGGCTTTTAAACCTTTCAACAGCCGAGTATCATAACTAAGAAAAACCTTAACTTATTCATCCTATTTGAATTTGAACAATTTTGATAATAAAATGAAATTTAATCATGATTCTGCACTTCTCCTTAGTAATCGTACATGGGTATATTCTCCACGTTCCTACTACACCGCCCGTGACCACAAGGTGTAGTATTGTACGTCAGGATTATGATTCATCTCCTTATACAATGCGTGGTATCAACTTGTATATTTTTTGCAAATGATGTTTGTTTGCTGTGCTTAGAACAACCAGTGTCAATTTCAGGCGGGGTCTCTATAAAGTCGCTGCTGCTACCTTACAGAACATCATGCGGTAGGGCCATTGTATACCATCCAAAATAATGAGGATTAAGCGTCTCTCCTAAGGACACAATTATGTCTATGGAAACACATTTTCCTCATATGAAACACACAACACCACGTGTAGTAACACTGTACACGTATATAGGGAGCGTCGAACCGTTTTACTGTATATCAGATCCCGTAGGTAACCTCCAGCAGACAGGGCTACAGTGGCCCCATCATATATATATATATAAAAAAATCATTACCTATGTGTATTCGTCAACTGAAGGATACTTCATACCATGAATTAAACATTTCTGTTATTGGAAACGTTCCATATACATGCCAGTGACGGATAAAATCGACAACTAAGGGAAAAATCATACTCTATGATACTAAGATTGTATTGTGTCACTAACCATTTATTTGTGTTTGAATAAAGTTTCAATCGGGAAATTACAACATATTTCATCATGATAAAAGTCCCTTCGAGTGAAAAGTTGGAAGAGAATTAATGTATGTATAATTTATAGGTACAAGAAAATTACAAACTTACGTAAGGCAAGCTCCATGACAACACCAAATAATCTACGTGTACTGTAAGTGTAGTGTTTCGATCGCTGTAATCTTTCTTCTGCCCTTCTTAAGATTTATTACATTAAAGAGTAATTTGTTTCTGTTTCAAATCGATTTTTCCAACAAAAATGCTTTCATATGCTTTGATCAAGATCTGATCATCGTGTAGCAGTACAATTGATATACAAGTCTGTATTACATGTAAAAGGCAGACTTTAGTTTGTGATTGTGGAAATACAATATTTTTTGTTACCAGTTCCATAACTATTTGTAAATCCTAATCATACATCGTATTATTTTTCTTTCACTTAAGTTCAGCACTTAACATTTCAAGATCTATTACATTTACAAAAAAAGTCGAGTCTTAACCGTAACGTAGACAAACTTCAGTATTTAACTTAGTTTAGGGTTAAACTTGAGAAGTGCGAAATGAAATTTACTGAAAATAACGAAGAGGTACGCATATTTTATCAATTTATCATAAAAGAATTCATAAGAAACAGAGCAAACAGAACTTGTGACGAACTAAGAAACGAAATAATTAAAAAGTTTTGTATAATGAGACACCCGTATACAAAGAATGAAATACTTGTGTTATCGCTTTGACAGATATTTACGTTTTTAGCAACCATTTACATAATAAACATCGGCATTACATATCTGTTACAATCCTATAATACTTGGTAATGTGTTTGTGAAGCTTGATATTAATCTATACGACAGATATTCCCATACAATGAAATGGGTGTGTACTAAAGTTTAGTCATTATGAAAACTCATAAACACATCACACAGTGTTTTTTTTTGTTTGTTTGAATAATGTGACAACTCTCTCTAAGTTCCAAATAGCACATATTTCTGTGACATAAAAAGCTTTCCTGTAGCAGCGATTTAAAACCATTAGAGGAAAGTGTCAATATTTACAGACAGACAACATCAGTGTTAAAGCATATTTATTGCTATTAACCGGGAGAGATAGGAGATTTATTGTTTATAATAAACAACCCCACCCCCCCCCCAAAAAAAGAAATATACAAACATAAAAAAAAAAAAAAAAAACGAAATACAGTTAAAAAAAATCTGATTTTGTATTTGATGTTCAACGGTAGTATAACTTGATACATTCCTGACTTCTGTGATAAAAAGCTTTTAATGAAAGTTGTTACCGACAACAGGATAACAATGAATAAGTCGCTACGCTCAGCACACCGGTCTTTCCTAGATTTACTTCCCTGTACCCATTCTACAAAGCTGGGTGGATTAGTAACATAAAGAAATTTTCCTTTCGCGCTCAAGATGGCAATAATAACAGCCAAGTTTAATTAACAAATTGAAGTTACTATTCCACAATATACATCGACGTTTGTTTTAATTGTATACAGAAAAAGGGGGGAAATTGAAGTCGTGTCGACACGAACAAAGTTGTACAGATAAATATGAATTAAATCTAACGTATAGCGGGTCAAACGTGACAGGAAACACATAGTAGTGTTTAGTGATTCGTTCCGGAGATACCGGAGATATTCCGATGTAGTTTAGTCATGCGCAGTAAGCTGTTCATAGGTCATGCGCGCTCTATTGTTCGATGTAACGTTTAATTTACACAGTACACGCTTATTCAGGCAGAAATTGCACCCATGTTTTGCATATCTGAACCAATTTTCTCATTAAAAACCATTTGATGACTTCTTTTTCTTGCAATATGATCTCCATTTTGCCCTGGGTGATACATAATGCCGAATACAGAACAAATCTCTATACACACTCATCCGTTACGAATGTTCGGCCAACTACTATGATAGACAGTTTGCTGCACATCATCGAATTTGTGACAACTACATATATATGCATGCAAAACAATAGTCCCATAGGGCCTGTATGACGCACCTGGTTTCGTTCGCTAAAATTGCTCCATTTACACGAAAGGCATAGTATTTTTAGGTTCCATATATATCCTCTAGCAAGCTTTCAACTACAACCCATCACCACACTCCACCCTTAGGAGACTCTGATGCATAGCTTATACGGAGGAGTGTCTCCATCACCCGGGGATATTTCAGATCAAATCTGGACTAAATTAAATCACATGTACAGAAGAGTGATTTGAACGAATTTGCTATATTTCCCATATTGAACCCCGCCCTTCTGACCACAGAGGGATGAAGCACAACATTTATCCCAAGATACATTTGTAATTCCCCGAGGGGGCAGACACCATCATTTATGTAAATTTATATTTCAGAATTAGAATATAAATTCTTCACATTCCTACAGAAGAAAAAGGATTTTGAATAATTTTCGTATTTTTTTCATATTTGAACTTGATTAAAACCTTTGCTTGTAAATCGTTAATTCAAACAACAAGGATGAAACACAAAATAATGTTAAAAAAAAGCATGGAAATTGATCTTAGATAAAAAATAAAAACACTTCAAGCATCATACTTTCAACTCGTGTTGTTCTTACGTGCTTTGTGCTGTATTTCCTACTAACACTCTGTCAGGTATTTTACAGATGTGTTTGTGCTATAAATATTTGATGATAAAACAGGTGAGCGCCGCCGAAACGTAAAGGTGAAGTGTAGCCAGACAGTCGTTCCGGTTCGATGATTGCAAATTTGTACGACATAGGTGCGTATACGCACATGTACATACTTACACAAACACTATAATTAATGTAGAAACATTAATATGTACAGGTTGACCTCCTGGTATAAAATGTGTGTCATGATCCACCTATTGATTGATACCTGCAGGTTCAAGATTTCTGTTCGATTGAAAACACTTAAAGCTTATTTCGAATAGGCTTCTAAAGCATTTTGCTGTTCTTCCTAAATATGATAATATTTCTCATCTGAATACGATGTAAATGTGTATATATTGTTTATATCTCGTGAAATAAGCTGAATTCCTGCCGACTGGCATACACAAGTGTTAGTAAACTCATATTTATTGTTCACTGTATGATTTAAACACGGGTATCGTAACTTTGTAGTATCTTCCAATGATTTCAAATGCTATATCATCTGTGTCCAGTGGAAATGATATTAAAGTAAGATATGATAACTTACCGCTATTCCAACACCGATGACAGCTACAAAATATCCCACTAAAACTAGAATATCCCCCCACTCAAGAGAGGTTGTTTCTTCTGCCATGTTCACACCCGTACACACCTGAACGTTGGGCCGTTATAACGTTAATAACACGATGAATCCCTACTACAGGTGAGCTTTAAATCTACATAATAGAGGTGGGAGGTTCCGAATGCTCAAGGTGAAGGTGTGCCGAACGGGATGTTTACCTGCTACAGATTAAACAATTTACCCTTTGTAAGTACACTTGTTAAATGTATTGCGATTGGCAAAACTTCTTCAGTATTAATTATTATGATATTAACAGAAATTGATCGTATCCGTGTATGTATTTATAAGCTATTGCAGTATTTTTTTCTATGTACTATTTATAATATTATATATATTAACTATTTTATATTTGTATCACCTTGTCATTCAAGTATTCTTTGCCTCTTACGTAATTCACAACAACTTATTTTTACAATATTACGGAAGCGTATTCCGGCCACGTTGTGTTTTATTTTAACTCGAAATTTCGAGATAGCGGTAGGAAGTCGAAATTTCGAGTTAGTAATCCGAAATTTCGAGATACTAACCCGAAATTTTGAGATAGGAAGTCGAAATTTCGAGTTAGTAACCCGAAATTTTGAGTTAGTAAGTCGATATTTCGAGTTCGTAAGTCGAAATTTTGAGATACTAACCCGACTTATTATCTCAAAATTTCGGGTTACTATCTCAAAATTTCGACTTACTAACTCGAAGTTTCGGGTTAGTATCTCAAAATTTCGACTTACTATCTCAAAATTTCGGGTTACTTTCTCAAAATTTCGGGTTAGTATCTCAAAATTTCGGATTACTAACTCGAAATGTCGACTTATTATCTCAAAATTTCGGGTTAGTATCTCAAAATTTCGACTTACTAACTCGAAATTTCGGGTTACTATCTGAAAATTTCGGATTACTAACTCGAAATTTCGACTTATCTCAAAATTTCGGGTTAGTATCTCAAAATTTCGACTTACTAACTCAAAATTTCGGGTTAGTATCTCAAAATTTCGATTTACTAACTCGAAATTTCGGGTTACTATCTCAACATTTCGGGTTAGTATCTCACAATTTCGACTTACTATCTCAAAATTTCGAGATGCTATCTCGAAATTTCGAGTTAAAATAAAACACAACGTGGCCGGAATACGCTTCCGTACAATATTATGAGGGTTTTTGATAATTCACAACCACTCATTGTTACAGTATTATGAAGGGGTTTTGTACAGTGTCCCTATCTATATCACCCATGTTCATCGTTAACTCATCGCTCATTATTTACTAACTATTCACGTGTAATATTTTCCATGTAATTACATACACTTGTATGTAGGTAAGTTTTCCCGAATACCACGACAGAATTATGTACAGAGGTCATACGAGGAACCGTTTTTCCAAGTTATGTTTTTTCAATTACTTATTTCGCACTCTGTAATTCTAAAGAATTGAAAAATCATCACTTGCGTATCTTCTTTGTAATCTTTTGCCGAACAAAAGCGGATCAGGAGAAATATTCGTTCTTCAAATTGAGACGGGCTGAGACAGATATCTCAACCCTCGGGAGAAGATACTGAAATATCCTGCGCTAGGAATAGCCTCGAACTGGAGAGTTTCAGAATCTTACACTGTGGGTTGATATTTTTTCCTCTCAATCTTATGGTAGAGAGAACTATCTTTGAATAAAGTATTATCTCTATTTTCCTTAAATAAGGTCATTTTTACCCACTAATGTTTAAATGTTAAGAAATTGTTTATACGTAAAGAAATCTTCGTGAATGAGGCATAGAGAATTATAGGAAAAAGAAACATTATTTTGAGTCAAGAAATTACGTCCTTTTCATCAGAAATTCTTTATGCTGATTTTAGTATGTTCGCCCTCCATTTGTGAGATTAGTATAAATGATTAACAATGACCTTTGGTGTTTGTGTAGACGCGAGCGTGTTTGTGTCGTTGCCAAAACCCCAGAAGCACGTGTTAAAGAAGGCAGAAATACATTATCGTTATGTAAATGTGATTTTTTTTTGTATCATGACGTGCATCTGCAACTTTCGGTTTTACTCTAGAAATGAATGACGATCGTGTAAAATTATAAAATTAACAAAATCACGATTGAAGTCAATTACCTTTGAGATAAAATTCTTCTTTGATAACGGTTTTTTTTAATCCTACCGCAGCTGTGAAAAGGACCGGAACTTGAGAAAGCTACCCAGCTACTGTCGAACTCGAGGTACTTTTGAAATAGAGGCAGGGGCTCCAATATCGCGGAGACAAATTTATATACTACCAGATAGATCTCAGACAGAAAACTTTCTCTCAAGCTTGAAAAATTTGATTGTGATAATAAGATAAGGAAAGCAAGGTTGGACAGGAATCCTTAAAGGCAGGAATCAAGTACAGGGAACAGGTATTCCTTTAAACGAGAAGGTATCTTTATAGCTAGGGAAAAAATAAACTTCTTATAGCAAAGAATGGACCCTATCATATGGGAATAGGGTCCCCCTATAGATAAGATAGGATTCCTTATATCGAGAAAACAAGAGTTAACGAGCAATAACAATCCATATACTGTATACAGGATCTCTCTATAGGTGAGGCAGGATTCCTTATACTGTATACAGGATCTCTCTATTGGTGAGACAGGAATCCTTAAATTATACACAGGATCTCTCTATTGGTGAAACAGGAATCCTTATATTGTATACAGAATCTCTCTATTGGTGAGACAGGAATCCTTAAATTGTATACAGGATCTCTCTATAGGTGAGACAAGAATCCTTATAAGGTATACAGGATGTCTCTTTAGGCGAGACAGGAATAATTATACTGTATACAGGATCTCTCTATTAGTGAGACAGGAATCCTTAAATTGTATACAGGATCACATTATTGGTGTTACAGGAATCCTTAAATTGTAAACAGGATCACACTATTGGTGTTACAGGAATCCTTATATTGTATACAGGATCTCTCTATTGGTGAGACAGGAATCCTTAAAATATATACAGGATCTCTCTATTGGTGAAACAGGAATCCTTATATTGTATACAGGATCTCTCTATTGGTGAGACAGGAATCCTTAAATTATATACAGGATCTCTCTATTGGTGAAACAGGAATCCTTATATTGTATAAAGGATCTCTCTAAAGGTGAGACAGGAATCCTTAAATTGTAAACAGGATCACACTATTGGTGTTACAGGAATCCTTAAATTATATACAGGATCTCTCTATTGGTGAAACAGGAATCCTTATATTGTATACAGGATCTCTCTATTGGTGGGACAGGAATCCTTAAAATATATACAGGATCTCTCTATTGGTGAAACAGGAATCCTTATATTGTATAAAGGATCTCTCTAAAGGTGAGACAGGAATCCTTAAATTGTAAACAGGATCACACTATTGGTGTTACAGGAATCCTTAAATTGTATACAGAATCTCTCTATTGGTGAGGCAGGAATCCTTAAATTGTAAACATGATCTCTCTATTGTTGAGACGGGAATCCTTAAAATGTATACAGGATCTCTCTATTGGTGAGACAGGAGTCCTTGTACTGTATAGAAGCTCTCTATTGGTGATACAGAAATCCTTATACTGTATACATGATCTCTCTATAGGTGAGATAGGAATCCTTAAACTGTATACAATGATCTCTCTTTTGGTGAGACAGTAATCCTTGTACTGTATAGAAGCTCTCTATTGGCGATAGAGAAATCCTTAAACTGTATACAGGATGTCTCTATTGGTGAAACAGTAATCCTTGTACTGTATACAGGATGTCTCTATAGGTGAGACAGGAATACTAATATAGAGAAAGCAGAGTCTTATCATAGAGACAGTGATTATGTGTGATTCGTCCTATTATACACGTAGTACATGTATCTCCTGTAGGTGAGACAGTAACCTTTATATAGAGAAGACAACACTCCCATTATTGTAGAGGCAAGGAATCAGCTATTGAGTAAGGTAAGTATAGTTTTACATTAAAATACAGAAGAGACAGTGTTTTTAGAATAGCTAGGTATGACAATGATCCTTCTGTAGGGCAGACGAGAATCCTATTGAAGGACAAACAAGATATTACAATGTTATATTGAGGAGGCCTGTGCCCTATTTTAGGAAGGACGAGGATGCGTTGTTCCGGTAGGTGATTTCTTGCCTATGTGATAAACAGGAAAGATACTTATCCATGTCAAGTGCCCCAATTAGGATTCGAACCGGGCGCCAGCGTGACAATTGACCGACTCTACCAACTGAGCCAAAGAAGCATGCTGAGAGTCAGAGACCTATAGTACAAGCCACACCGACCCGCCCCTTTATACAACGCAATATTTCTACTTCAACGCCTTGAACGCTGTTATGTCTTCAATGACTCATGCTGGCAACATCGATGGCTGTCTTTAGGATGTTCTGCAAGGTTATGATAAAAAGTGACGTTTTAAGGATAAACGAGTAAGTGAGTGGGGTTTAACCAAGTCATCGGTAGATCACGTCCATGTAATAGGTTACCTGCACTAGATCGACGTATCTTCGTCACGTGCTGATATTATGTAAAAAATATCACCTGCAAATTCGATAAATATATTCTATTTTCTTGTAAATTTTATTTCAGCGTAATTGCATGAAGACGTACATCTTTCTTGTTCCCCCCCCCCCTTTTTTATATCTTTTCCCATTTTTATTCAACTTAGTTACCTCTCTTTTATTATACGGCAGACCGACAATTTGATGTGACAACCTTCTTATTAGATATTGTCTATTGTCAACTGAAGTGTTGTACCAGACTGATCGCACGAGACAGAAGAATGCACAAGATCAAATTGCCACGTCTCATGTTCGAGGAATGGTTTTCGTTGTGGCAAAAGCCCGGAAAGCTCCAACGAACAGTGGTTGAAAAGTCATCCATTCATTGTGAACACTGGGATTAGTTTAAACGTATCTATATATAGCAGAAACTCCCCCCTTTTCCCAAGAATCTAATATTGACAAGACGTTTCACTCGGATGCAAACATCGTTTTTTGTTCGGATCAAAGACAAGTCCAAGCGGGCATCTCTGTACGTACGGCATACCCTCGTAACAGTTGAGGAAACGGTGACATTCCCCTGGGTACGGGAATAAACCCGTCGGCCGGGGACATATCAGCTGAGAATAACATGTCACTGAGTTTCTATGGTTACAAGTCTGCGTTGACCCGTCGAATACGTCACCGGCATAGCAACGCAGTCTTTCCGGAACAATTCCATTACATCGAAAGAAATAGGCACAATTGTCCTCATCTGCTTTCAACTCGTTGATATAGATTTCGTCACATGTAATATTCTGTTGACGTTCGGATGGCTTGTAGAAAATTTCTGAAATAAAACAATAAATTTGATGACCAAACACACATTGAAAAATGTTGTTATTTATTAAAAGTTTCATTTCAACGGAAAAAAAAACTACGGTCATCAATTTGCTAGGATATTTTGTTTTACTCAAATCATGAAGATAAATAAAAAATGGGAAAATCAATCGCTTGATATATCAAATTATATACGGCGAGTTCACGATAAGTTATATATTGTTATTCAAGGGTTTGCTTTTTTGCGCTTATTTTAATGTTCCAAGGGAGACAACCTGTATATACTGAAAAACATTTTGTATTGAATGTATCGCATCCCTTGACTCTTTGTTTACAGATACGTTGGAGTTTAAAACAAATAACATTAGCAAGTCAATTTATCTTCAATACAACAGAATACGTATGTGGAAATTATCATCCGCTATCACATCGTGAAAATATTGATAAATATATTTATGCGTAGATTTTTCCGCAACTGAACTTATGACGTTAGTAATGGCGGCAATGAGTCGTCTTGAACTTTCTACTTAATTTCCTTTTTAACGCAAAACAACTCCCTCACCCCACCCCATCCCACCCACAAAAAGAAAAAAATGATGATGATCACTTACCTGATCTACAGTTACCTGCTGTGTCTGGCCCCGTGACATTGGACATATCGTTGTCAGTAACTAGAAAAGAATCGTATCCATATATATTCAACAAATTACACACTTTATCTCATATAATAATGTTTTTCATAAATGAGTTTCGAAGATACTATGTTGAAAATGTGTGATACAAACACCATAATATATCATCTAGGGACGGTATGGCTCATCATGACTAATGGTGTGTTTTGTCAAAACAATATTGAAATCAGTTATTAAAAGTTATAAAAGAGAATATTCAAGCGAAAGTGCCAGAATATCACATGGGTTGTCACTCGCCGAAGCCCAAAAAGCAAATGTTTCCAATTTCCCATTAATGTGTCTTTGTGAACCCTTCTATGGAAAATGCGTAAATTCGTCTATGGGTATTCTTGAGCTCGTTTATTTACATTCATGAGCTAGTCTATGGTTTTCGCGAGCCCCGACAGAGGTTATTGAAGTTCAACAAATAATCACTTTCCACATTGATTTTATAAATTAATTTTTTAATGTACATGTACGGGAAATAACAGGAAAGTACCAACATTTCAACATAAACAAAAATCCAAACCCAAATTCAATAAAACTTATATAAAAATATGAACAAAAGGAAGACAATGCTAGTCAGACCACGTGTTCCGTGAAAAATAAGCGTCTTTGCGTCATCGACTACACCCGCCATGTAAATCTTGAGTCAATCCAAGTAAGATCATACCACCAAACCCAACGGGGATGTTGTCAGCCAGAAATTCAATCATTCTTATGATTTGGTCCTCCGTATATTTCTTGTTTGATTTGGACATATTTTTCACGATAAACGATTCAGTATAGTTCACATAGTTCACATCCATATATTTGTACCGGCGTTCACCTTACTTGGAAAAGTTATCATAAGAAATAAAGAAAGCGCTCTTTCAGGTTAGAATAGAGTTTGGTGGTAAACAGATTGGAAAAAAATCAAATGTTCCTGTAGAAGCCGTGTTTTAGAAGAGGGTTTTGAAGATTTGTTTAAAGTTCTTTCAAGTTCACATGATATTAATTCCACTTCTTGAGTAAACATGCTTGATATTTCTAAGAATGGTGGTAAGTAGTTATGATTAAGATTAAGTCAAGCCAAGCCAGCGTTGTTTATATGGATTCTTATGAAGGTTTGGAATCCAATATAAACGGGGATGGTCCGTATCCTTATCATTAATAGATAGTCTAAATTATTGTGATAACGAAGCGTGATTAGCCAGTATTTTTTCTTTGGAAAAATTGCATAATGCACCGGTCGGTTTCTTCGTTATCAAGCAAACCTGGTTGATTTTGTCTACAGGAAATGAAATGATGTCTATAGACAAGGACCAAGTTACCAGACACCTTATCTTCAGACACAATAACATACCTGTAATTTAAATATGGAAGTTTGAGTTAAACATCAGGGGCGAGGAACGGTTCAGAAGCTCACGTAGCTAAATATTTTGAATAATTCTAAAATCATCACTAACTATGTTCCTAGCTGGACCATACTGATAAGTAGAGGTAGAACAAGACCAAGTTGACAGAGGACTAGTTCTTAGGTGATCTATATCCAGTTGTTGAGCGTTTGTAACTGAAAGGCTGTTGGAAATTATCAGAGTATTTCTGTTTAGAAATAATTAGTCTGGGAACCGAGAATTTCTTTTCAGTAATTAGACTATTGCGAGTTTTGCTTTATTGTTACGCACGTAAGTTTGCACGGTTGTAGTTGTGTTGCAGAGTCATAAGTTTCGTAGTTCAATTACTGTCAGCGATTAGTGTAAAGCTAGTAATGTCCCTCAGGACAATTCGATGGGTGCTCTGTATTCCAACAATAGGTCTTGTACCCTTAGGACCTACTATGTGAGCCCCTCTCTTATACTAGGCGCCGAGTCATTGTTATTTCCTTGGAGCTGTTCAAGTCTCAGGCAAATATCTGAACATCATTTTACTGGTGACTAGAAAACTTACCTAACAACTCAAAGGGGAATCTGATGCTAAATCCTTGAAATGATTAATAAAATTTACCTCCACAAAGACTGTTACCCAAATAAGGCAATATCCGGTCTAGGTCTGCGCCCAAGTCGTCTACGTTGTACACCTTACACACATCCGTTCCAACTGTTAATGCAAATTCAGCTCCAAACATTCCCTCAAAGACAACGTACAGAGTTATCCCTCTTTGTCGCAATTCCGCCGCCATATTTACAGTTTCTGTATCATTTATCAAGCTGTCATTTTTTAAAATCAAAACACCGATTTTTGGAACAGTGTACAATGGATCAAAGTTTGGTCGCTGTAATTTTTTGGTAAACATATCCGTCATTGTTTCCAGAACATTTGTAACATTCACGTCACCGGTAAGTTCTTTCTTAAATCTTCTTGTATTTGACATAAGTGAAACTGCCGTGTTCAGCAACTTCCGGTTCCGGTACGGACGAAGATGCGTCATCACAACACTCATTCTGCGATACATCACAAGACCAACATTGTAAGCAGACTCTCGAATATCTAAATAATTCATAACTTTGATAACGAACTCTTCAAGGGGAGTGAACTCTTCGAAATCAGCTGTTGTACCATTGTTGGCAGTCCTCGGAATAAGGAAAACCACATCAGCCTTTGCACTACACCTGTCCTTGGTATTGATAACTGGAAAAGAGAAAGGCAAATCAAATATTTAGTTTATGTTGTATCTTTCATTTAGCACCTTAATTTGTTATTTCAGTTAGAGACTAGCACTATTTTTATGAAATAATTTATAAGGACACGCAAGCGCGTAAATATTGATCTTATTCTAATATTGAATTGTTTGGAAAGATGAAAGTTACATACATCATATACTAAATGTTATTTGCTGTAATTGTTATTCCGTAAACCAATTCACATGATCAACATCGAAATCAGATTGGTATCATATCTATATAAACATAGAAATAAAAGATATTTAAATTATTTATCATTGTACACCTTGCATATCATCGTGACATTTGTAGGAAATGTTGAAAAAAATTGTTTCTTTTAATTAATAATTCGGATTATGAAATAGAACAATATAATTTAACGATGTTGAACAGAGAACATGTCGACCTTAGTCGATAGGTGGCTGTGTTGTAAAAAACTTCTTGTCAAGGGTAAGTAAAACACGTGTTTGACCTTTCGGTAAGCAATTTTGTCAACAGAAGGCTTAATATTATATTTTCATAAAATCTTGTATTATATATAAAATCTCGCGTTATATGTAAAATCTAGTGTTATGTATAAAATCTCGCATTATATATAAAATCTTGTGTTATATACCATAAAACTAATAAGCTTTAAAACACTAAAATAAATTTATGAAATAATGTGAAATTCAGGCAATAGAATGGATTTGATTTGAGGTAATGAAAATTCTAGCTTCATTCGGATACGCATGATTTTGTTTCAAGTCACGTTATGTATTCAACTGTATTTTACAGTAAGTGGTGACATGTACTATTAAAATCTACATTTACATCAAATTATCACCCGTATCACAAATAAAATCACGCGTAAAAAAAGATATCATTTTTGTTTGATAGTCTTCTTCTTTTTGTTTCTGTCTGCGAGGAGTTGATAAAAGACATTATCACAATAGCATACCTTATTAAACCGTTTCTATTCCGTAATATATTTAATGTGTACCCAGAATACTCACCTCTTCCTGTCGTGTAGTCAGCGACGATCAATACCAGAAACACACTAAACATTTCTCTCCCCATGTCGAACTTCACATCAGCAAAATTTAACATATAAGGAAAGAGACTTTCCACAATTAAAATGTTTTCAGAACAAGAAATACGTATTGCAGGCGTTTACTGTATTGAAACTCAACGGTTCTTCTGACAAAACATCTACGCGTAGCTGACCTAATCATACAAGCATTCCATCGTCAACCTACTTCTAGTGGTATATTGCGTGTGATCAATTCTAACTTCCTCCTAAGTACGTAAATTGGTAGACCTACATATACGTAAAACAGTAAACATGTCTTTATCATTTGAATGGTCGATATGTCCCAAACACAGAGTTAGAAATAGATTGTCGCGTGATTCTATTCCAATGTACGTATTCCCATAAATGACCAATAAGCGTAACTGTTCATGTGCAGTTTATGTATTTTACGTCAAAAGCCGTGACCGTTGTTGTCATGAATATCCATTAAGATCGACGCTTTCGTCAACACGTGCAACGCAATACACATCTAATGTCCAGAGCAGAACATGTAACGAGAGATGTACATTACACCGACAAAATAGAGCAAAGCTGACCACTGGTCATTCAGAAATTTGTTTTATTGAGAGGTGTGCATGTATATACAGTATACGACGTGTGTATATCGCGTGCTTGTTAATTAGGACGAATAAAACACTGTTGATCGCTTAATATATAGAGATATGAATGTCAGTATGTCAGTAGAGGAGATTTATAGAATACATAGGGTATCAGGTCGAGTCCAGAATACATAGGGTATCAGGTCGAGTCCAGAATACATAGGGTATCAGGTCGAGTCCAGAATACATAGGGTATCAGATCGAGTCCAGAATACATAGGTTATCAGATCGAGTCTAGAATACATAGGGTATCAGATCGAGTCTAGAATACATTGGGTATCAGATCGAGTCTAGAATACATAGGGTATCAGATCGAGTCTAGAATGCATAGGGTATCAGATCGAGTCCAGAATGCATTGGGTATCAGATCGAGTCTAGAATACATTGGGTATCAGATGGAGTCTAGAATAAATTGGGTATCAGATCGAGTCTAGAATACATTGGGTATCAGATCGAGTCTAGAATACATTGGGTATCAGATCGAGTCTAGAATACATTGGGTATCAGATCGAGTCTAGAATACATAGGGTATGAGATCGAGTCTAGAATACATAGGGTATCAGATCGAGTCTAGAATACATAGGGTATCAGATCGAGTCTAGAATATATTGGGTATCAGATCAAGTCTAGAATACATAGGGTATCAGATCGAGTCTAGAATACATTGGGTATCAGATCGAGTCTAGAATACATTGGGTATCAGATCGAGTCTAGAATACATAGGGTATCAGATCGAGTCTAGAATACATTGGGTATCAGATCGAGTCTAGAATACATAGGGTATCAGACTCGTCAGATCGAGTCTAGAATACATTGGGTATCAGATCGAGTCTAGAATACATAGGGTATCAGGTCGAGTCCAGAATACATAGGGTATCAGGTCGAGTCCAGAATACATAGGGTATCAGGTCGAGTTCAGAATACATAGGGTATAAGGTCGAGTCCAGAATACATAGGGTATCAGGTCGAGTCCAGAATACATAGGGTATCAGGTCGAGTCCAGAATACATAGGGTATCAGGTCGAGTCCAGAATACATAGAGTATCAGATCGAGTCTAGAATACATTGGGTATCAGATCGAGTCTAGAATACACTGGGTATCAGATCGAGTCTAGAATACATAGGGTTTCAGATCGAGTCTAGAATACATAGGGTATCAGGTCGAGTCCAGAATACATAGGGTATCAGGAATACATAATGAGATCCAGAATATATATGGTATCAGATCGAGTTCAGAATACATAGGGTATAAGGTCGAGTCTAGAATACATAGAGTATACATAGGGTATCAGGATCGAGTCCAGAATACACTGGGTATCAGTCGAGTCCAGAATACATAGGGTATCAGTCTAGAATACACTGGGTATCAGATCGAGTCTAGAATACATAGGGTATCAGATCGAGTCTAGAATACATAATGTATCAGATCGAGTCTAGAATATATATGGTATCAGATCGAGTTTAGAATACACTGGGTATCAGATCGAGTCTAGAATACATAGGGTATCAGATCGAGTCTAGAATACATTGGGTATCAGATCGAGTCTAGAATACATAATGTATCAGATCGAGTCTAGAATATATATGGTATCAGATCGAGTCTAGAATACATAGGGTATCAAATCGAGTCTAGAATACATTGAGTATCAGATCGAGTCTAGAATACATAGGGTATCAGATCGAGTCTAGATTACATTGAGTATCAGATCGAGTCTAGAATATATATGGTATCAGATCGAGTCTAGAATACATTGAGTATCAGATCGAGTCTAGATTACATTGAGTATCAGATCGAGTGTAGAAAACATTGGGTATCAGATCGAGTCTAGAATACATTGGGTATCAGATCGAGTCTAGAATACATTGGGTATCAGATCGAGTCTAGAATACGAGTCTAGAATACATTGGGTATCAGATCGAGTCTAGAATATATATGGTATCAGATCGAGTCTAGAATACATTGAGTATCAGATCGAGTCTAGAATACATTGGGTATCAGATCGAGTCTAGAATATATATGGTATCAGATCGAGTCTAGAATATATATGGTATCAGATCGAGTCTAGAATACATTGGGTATCAGATCGAGTCTAGAATACATTGAGTATCAGATCGAGTCTAGAATACATTGAGTATCAGATCGAGTCTAGAATACATTGGGTATCAGATCGAGTCTAGAATATATATGGTATCAGATCGAGTCTAGAATACATTGGGTATCAGATCGAGTCTAGAATACATTGAGTATCAGATCGAGTCTAGAATACATTGGGTATCAGATCGAGTCTAGAATATATATGGTATCAGATCGAGTCTAGAATACATTGGGTATCAGATCGAGTCTAGAATACATTGAGTATCAGATCTAGTATAGAATACATAGGGTATCAGATCGAGTCTAGAATACATTGAGTATCAGATCGAGTCTAGAATACATTGGGTATCAGATCGAGTCTAGAATACATTGGGTATCAGATCGAGTCTAGAATACATTGGGTATCAGATCGAGTCTAGATAACCGATTTTGCTTTATTTTTTCGTGATACTATTAAAAAAGTTCCAAGATATCATTTCTCATTGTATCCGTATATCTTCCACTGAGAGTCGAATGAATTTGTTGAACAAACTATTTATTTTATATATTCACTTTTTGTTAATTTTTGCATACTTTCTCATTAGTTTTGTAATTATTCTTATTGGAGTTTAATAGGCGATAAAGAATATTCAACTGATTCAGGAACAACGAGTGAACACAAATTATTGTTTAGAAAACTGAAAACGACAAATGGTAGGACGGATAAAAAATGTATTCTTGGTATAGTTAGAGAACGATACAATGGTCTGGTACATGACATCAATAGCATACGTGTTGCTATACACCAGTTAATTGGAGACGTAATATTTCATCACCTACATTCGAAAATAAATTTCTCAGGCTACGAGCACGTTAAATCGGTTTCAAACTAGTTGGAGAAATCTTATATATATATCAAGATGTTCAACTATAAGTATCTTCTCTGAAACTTGATACTTTGGTTTGTTCTCATTTACATTAGACAAATTAGATGATTGTAAAGCAACAACATATATTCCTTTTATTATTTTGACAGATGTCTTGTATCCTTGTATTCTGGATTTGTTGAATAAAACAGATATGAAAAAACCTTTTATCATGTTTTTCAGAAATTCAGTTGTAAATTTACTGGAAAACATACAGTATCTCATAGTAGAGTGGAATGTGCCATATTGTTTTTATGAGACCTTATTATTTCGATTAGAACATGAAACAAACAAAAAACTAACAATATTTGTCATTCAACTTTATATGATGTCTTTCTTGACGATTCTTTTGACGAAATATGTATTTGAAAATAGATGTATAAAATGTATGAATTTACGTTTTATATAGAACATTTCAAATGCCTACTCCGTTGTACACATGTCAAGGATCCACCATGAATACTGTTTGACGTTCTACCAAATTTTGTTTTATTTTATTTGGATGGTATCCTTGCCACAAGTATGCGTAAAGGACGCTATTTCCAAAAGAATTCATGAGTAGGCCGTGCTAAAGACTCACTAGTGTATAGCACCCTCCAATCAAATTTAGAGTTCGAGAGTGGAGCCGAAACATGACTTAACTGCATCGTACAGCTGTTTCGTTCTTGTAGGTGGAGGTAAGGGCCTAATGTTTTAAAACTCAGGATAGTAAAGCAAAGCAAAATTAATTGTCTTTTGAGACTCAAATTTCAGATAATTCTGTCTTATTTAAAATAGAAATTATCGGTTACATGAATGGGTCCTTTCTGATTATCAATTATAATCAAATAGATATTTGTAAAAAGTCCTAATTTTTATGTTAATAACCGTAGTGATTATAAAACTGCTGTCGGTAAGTCTTGATAACATTAGATGATCGGACTACAGGTTGACATGCTACAAGGTTTACTTGCCGAAAGATGTGCAATTGAAATCCAATTCAAAGACGCCTGTTCCTCAATGTCTGCCATTTTGTTAAAGAGATCGAAAACATCAGAAGTATTAATCTGAAGTTCACTGCTTTAATAACACCAGAAAGTTATCGGTTACTTTTCCTCTAAGCAGCAGACACCTAGCGGATTATTTATAGGGTACTGGCTTCCTGTAGTGTGGAGCAAATATTCGATAGATTAACGGTGCCTTAGCTGTATAGGTTTTAAACACGGAACCACGGCAACCTCTCGATTATTGCTGGTGGGTTCGCAGCTCAACCGAGACACTATTTATTTATTTTAGCGAGTCTAACGCTTTTACTATGAAACTGGTGAATACCAAATCATTTACCAAAAGCATTTTCTGGCACAAGTTTGAGTTTTTGTTTCACCACGACTACTCTATCATGTGTCACAGGACTCTGGAATTGGGACACGATGATATTTAGAGTAATATATAAATACTTATCACTGGTAAGTTTGTAAAAATAATTATAATCATTATTTGATTAATTCATTAATGACTATTTTGTCTCCCTCCTTGAGATTGACATTTATCATTCATTAATAAAGTAGTGCTGTTTCTGGTTAGTATGATCCTGTAACGTAGCTGAACGGACAAGACCCATTTGATACTTTTCCTTCCAACGACATCATCGTTTTTCTAGTTTAATGTAGATGCCATTTTGAGCACGTGTTACAAATTCCTTTTGTGTGCGTGGAACATGATTTGGCTCTGGCAGTATCCGAAACCTAGAAAAAAAAGATATTTTTCAAATTGGGAATGTATATTTAAAATAAGATCAGATGAGAAAATTGTAGTTCATAAAATAACTTGTGTATAAATGCATTCTCTTTGATTCAGAGATTCTTTCAAAAAGGCCAAAATTTGAACCATCGAAAAAGACTTCTACAGTACTTCGACTTCGTTTACACCAAAAGTACAGCTATTGGACATTTCTTTGGTTGTAGTTTCACGCAAGTAGTCTTTAAGAGCATTTTTATTACATATTTATCTTCTAATAATATAAAAAAAATGTTGTTTTAAAAATACAGTCACATTAAAATGTCATAGCATTTACAATATAAAAAGCCCACTGTGGTCAGATTATACAAACAGTAAATCCTACTGTAGTATGCTTGGCATTTTTATTGAAAACGATACAATTTGTATCAATATTTGATTTTATGTTGTGACAGACAACATGAGTTATTGCAAATAACAAGGATGCTTAAGAATGCCATTACTCTCAAAATTTTCTTTGTTTACGCAAATCATTTTATAATTGACTATGGTTCCAGAAAAGAACAAACTAGAGACAATTGCAATGCAGAACATTTGAAGAAAAATTGCCCGAGATTTCTTATTGATGTATGTACTGTGCAAAACGTCATTAGGGGTCATTTTTCATGTTTATAAAGTGAAAAACTTAAAAAATAGAACTTCTGGTCACAACGTAATTGATCATGTTTCCCTAATTAAGTTTGAAAATGTTATTTCCTCTTAGTATCAATGACTTAAATACCTTTATTTTATAAATAACACATTTTCCCACAACATACGACTTACCGTTGAACTATTCTTGCTAGCATTACTTTCATTTCGGTTAAAGCAAAGACCTGGCCGATACAGTTTCTGTGGAAAAATTAATCTGACGTTGAATACGCGTGTACTAGTACACTAGGAGCAAATAATGGACGCAGGCAAAACAAATGCCTCTATATCCATATCTAAATTATATGATGATCAGATGTTTCCTTTAAAGATTCTAATATGCTCAGTTATTACATATGTATAGCCAATTAAATGCTAAATAGCAAAAACATTTCACTATTTTCAAGTTGAAATGACATTAAAAGTTTCCTCTTTATATATTGTTTCTGGGAAGGCGCACAATTTTTTCTACTCCAAGGCGGCCACGGACACGGTATATATAATCCTCCGTTTTTTTGTTTTCTTTCTGCTTCGCTTCCTCGTATAATGCCTTCTCTGCTTCTCTTTCACATTGTGTTTAGTCGTTTCTTAGTGGTATTGAGGAAAGTTGACAATGATTTCTTATTTTTCTGATATTTTTGAAGATTTCATTCTTTGGTTGTTGTGACTCAAAACAAACTAGAATAGGCCGGCTGTTATTGGTTATGTAACTATACTCTTGTCTCTTTCCCAATCGTATAATTTTTCTGGGCCTATCTTTGTTTAATACTCCACAGACTTCTAATACATCTCCTACAACTTTAGCATCTTCTTCCATACGTTTCTTTCCGTCGCGATGGGGCTGTTCCGGAACTCCAAATAGAATTATGTTGTTTTCCCTCTCTGCTCGCTCTTTAATTTCAACAGCTATTTCGTCTTTGTTTGGTGCAGATTTCTCAGATTTCAAGTTCATTTCCAGTTTAGCAATTAACCCTTTTACCTCTCTTTCAAATTCCGCAATTCTATCTTCAATTTTTTGCGTGATTTGCCTACACCTCTCTTCTATTTTTCTGTCCATGAGAATATTCTTTTCGACTGTCAATCTGCATGGTGGACAAAACCACATTGTATCTGATTTTGATAGGATGTCATATTTCTTTGAATCAAAATCCAGATATCTGATGCAGAAAAAGTCCTGGCATCGATCACACTTCATGTACTTCTTTGCTTCCTTCGAGCATATCTTGGAGTTATACTAATTAGTAATGTATCAACTAAATTAACAGACAGGGACAAAAAATCACGAAAACAAACACTTATCTGTAGAGAAGATGACCGATAATTCATACAATATCATTTTGACGTATGATCTCGAGCGCTCGACAAATTATCTCTGGTTTATTTCATTATAACTCTTACTCTCGCCTTGTTAGGACGGTAAGTGAGTAATATAATGTACTTATATATACGTTGGTATTTATTATTATTGACATTCTCAACCACCCGTCAACACATAAAATGTCATTAAGGCCATCAACCAATAAACCACAGCGACCCCCAAAGGAAATAACATCAAGCGAACCAAAAGGTAAAAGACAAATGTTTAAAAATCTTAAATGGGTATATTATCACAAAAGATTAAAATGGTACGTCATAGTCTATAATACAGACCAACATGGTAAACGAAATAATACGTCGAGCACTCAATATAATTGATATACAAAAATAACATTGTCCTAAATATACCACACTGTAAATGTACCGCCATACAATTTTACTGTACAACTGGATACATTTGTTATTGAACACAATAAATTACTATCGTCTCTGTTTATTTTGATGTACTTTTTTATTTTCAGCATTCCAATAAAACTGCCATAAAAGTGATTTACTCTCATGCTGATACGGATTCCATACAATATTCACTATTTACAGATATATTAGTTTAAATAGAATTTTCATACCTGGGTCCTGCTGCAAAAGGTACGTAGCTGTACGGATCCCGGTTCGATTCCCCAGCAAAACGGTCAGGTCGAAATTCCTAGTAGAGATGGTAACCATATGAGCGCCATCGTATAGTTATGTTTTAAGATAACATGCTACTTTTTATTCGGTTAAATTTACCTTCATATACAAATATAGGTTCGCGTGCTTCAATAAGCGAACACTTAAGGTTTTAAGTAACGATAAAGTTGACCAGTAAGTTAGGCATATATTCAATAACCTTTATTTTCATAATAAATTTCATGTATTTTAATTTCAATAAAACAAATCCACTGTAAATCCAACTTGTATCTTAATCATCTCTATCGGAAACTCATTGTTTAAAATTTAATGAAAATAAGAAAAATCTCGTGCGTGTACCGTATATGGTCTTCTCTACATAACCTCTTAAACAAGCGCGTGAACAACGCGTGCATAACGTCGTGATATACATATAGAAAAGTTCATTATATGCAGCATATATTATTTGGTTTTATTTTGCGTTTTTTAATTATTTATTGAAGTATTTGGATTTACCCGAGAAAACATAATAATTCATGGTTGTTGTGTAATCGTTTCAGGAAATTTCAAGCTATATTACAATTATTATACCTATAATATATGGTATTTTTATTCGTAATTATTTGTATTCATAATTAGGAGGATATTACTTCATATCTTTTTCAAAGATAGCTGTCCATCAATTCAATTTTTGCTTGAGGTTTGAAATTTTCTGCTTGAAGAAAACAAATGTTTCTCCTGAATGAAACATAATTTACATTATTGTTGCACTGCTATATGTGGAAGGTTATTTGGTTTCAAATTTACATAATTAGCAGTATCAACAACATTGATTAAGGCATATTACTTGTAAGGTAATGCAGCTAATTTAGGATATTAATGATTGAGATAGCAGAAATCTTCAAGATAATAGGTGGTAGACACTGCTGGTCAACTTTAAGTCCTCGAGGTTTGCCGTAACCTGCATGCTACGTTTTACTTTATTAGAATAGTGTCACAGTTCAGAGTTTACACATGTGTGGTTGACGCTGTTAATAAAAAATCTGACATAAGAAAATATTTGAGAAAATATCAATTTTAAAGTTGTTTTGTTTTGGAATATATGTAAAAAGAATGAATTTGTCCTGTTCTTTTGAAAGGTTCAGGACATATCTATGGGCAATTAGTTCATTGAATTAAGCTTAATCTTCTATTTACCAAAGGCTGGTCCCAAACTTCCTCCAGATGGTTCATGACAAAGATCATAACATTGATCTCAGTGTTTACCGGGATGGTCACTCCATCGATATCCATTTCAGCCGTAGTCACTCTGACAAGGAACGGAACTGGCGGGAACATCCTTAATGTTTCTTTTATAAACAGAGACATTCGAGTGAATTCCTTGGTGTCATCCCTATTAAAAATAAATAAATAAATAAAATGGATCAAACGATTAGCAGTGAATTAAAGGATGTTGCTTTTATCACCTAACACCTCTTAAACTCTCAGCTGCTATCGAAATCAGGTGAGCGATGGCACGTAATTTTGCAATCACTATCTAAAAATGTCAAGTAAGGTTGTATACCATTCTACGTTTTGTCTGTCCCCAAGAACTCGCGTTACTTCTTCATACACCTTCTCTTGTTCCTTAGGATATTTAGCGAGCGCGTAGATTGCCCAGCTGACGGCTGAGTTGGGAGTTTCTTGTCCTATAAAGAAAAAAAATTGTAATATCAGATATAAGTCATTCAGAAAAAAAAAACTTGAAACATTCCTATTGCTTTAATACAATTTCCACCTTTACATCTAATGAAGAACTGGCCGCTGTACATGTGGTAACCACCACACCTTGGGCTAAATGCGTAGCAGATTCCGGGATTGAATATCCATATCCTAGAACCATGAGTCAACTCTATGCTTATTTATCTACATTATTACAGAGTCAATTAGAATATTCAGGTTAATTCTAATTATGTTAAAGCAAATACGTTTTTTACAATACCCACCCTCAAACAGGAAGGTGTCGACCTCGTCCCTGACCTCACGGTCTGTCAGTCCAATACCATGCTCGTCTTTGGCGGTAAGCATGATATCCAATAAATCCAGATGGCGCTTCTTTAGAACAGACGAGTCTGCAGCCTGATTACAACAATTAGCATATACCCATCAATGATAAAGCATTGAAGGTAGATAAAGGGAAGTAACTCAAGTATATAGATTAATTCAGCGTAATTCGCCGAGTCAGCACAAATACGTCGGGGCATGGTCACCAAGCCCCCTGACGATCCGTGGTGAATTTGTCAATGCGTATTTTCGTGACAAGGTCACCTGACACATCGGAAGCCGCGGTGACACTATTTTAAGGGTCCCTGATAGGAATTTATAACCGCGATCTGTCACTCAATCCAATTCATTACCGTGAAGTCAAAATGAAAGTGTCTTGATGCCTATGGAGGGTACAGTAATAACAATACTTTCCAGAAATAAATTAATTAGTTAATCAGGCTTTGAAAATTTGGTTTCAGTTATATAATAATACATTTATCGTATATGTAAAATATATGTAAGTGCAAAGTCAGTACAACGCCAGTTCGTTTCTATAATACCCACTCAGAACAGCATTAAAACCTATATTATATAAAAGTGTACACATTCACCACTCTATACCATGTGCTATATCCTATAATCTTATCTATTTTTAATAGATTTTAAAAGTCAGATTTAATTCCCAAATTGTTCCGCTCACCAGTGATTTCCTTCGTTCGCTGATAATTTTTTCATCGAAATCATGTACGTATTGTGTAAGTTTGGCATACTCCCTTCCAGTCGGTGATAGATAGAACGGTACACTATACCACAACAGCGGTGACCTTACAAAAATAAAATAACACAAATAAAAATATTTAAAGTAGTGAGTAACTTAGTGTGTTCAAGTTTATCAAACAAATGGCGTGTCAGTGTTCCTTTCATAAAAATGAAAATTTGAAGGACATAATATTTATCTGATGCAGTTTAGTTCCTAATTAATATAAACCGTACCTTGTTCTAAATCTGTATAGAAACATGCCATTCACTTTTTGTCTCTAACTATCATGAAGCGAATAACAGCTCTTGAGGATAAATTCTTGATAAACCAAAATACATTTAATAATAAAAAACAAATAATGTTGCAATGAATTAATAAGAACCACCAGAATTATTAAAAGGTATATACGCTTTTGAAAAATAAAACCGTGTAGATTAGCTTTAAAATAGGTAAGACAACTCACATTAACCTCTCCTGGGATAAGATAGTAAGCCTTCGAATAGCATTCACATACGGGTGTTTAAAGCTGTAATAAAACAGATAAACAATTTACCGTTAAATATAAATATAAACTTTATTTATTTTACAACAATTGCGAAACAAGTTATGTAAACTTACACTGATAACTCGTTGGCCCGGATGTAAGCGCGCGAGGGGTGTTATTGTGGGAGGAAACTGGAGTACCGTTAAGACATAGATCGATAAGTCTATTACAAATAATTTGATTTTTATTTCAGGATGGAAGAGACAGATTAGATACCCTTGATCCTGGACCTTCCCGTCGTATGAAACTGAACAGCGCATTATAATATCTAGCGTTGCTAGTCCTACTAATTCATACATCTCCACGCTTTTCCCACCAGATGTCGCTTTTTCTGCTTTTTCCTTTTCAAAGAGAGAGAGAAAAGAAAATTTGAAGTTTATTGTACATACTATTTAAAACATGACAGCAATGTTTATGTTTCTTAACTAATTCAAGTGAAGGTCACTATTATAACGTCATTTTGCAGAACAGTGAAGGTTACCGTTCCAACGTCAAATATAAAAACGAGGTAAAAAGTAGTTAAAAATTCATATCCATCGTATTTAACCATGGTTAAATCCAGTGATGATTTTTGTCAGGATATGCATGCATATATATCAAATTCGAGTTAGTAATGAATGACATAATATAAAATGTATTGATATTCATAAAATTGTAGTTTAAAAGGTAGGTAGATAGTGTAAAAAACATGACAACCTTCTCCCTGCTTAAAAGAGTTACTGCAGTATTCATCAAATGTGTTTCAACTATTTCACAATAACCCTCGTTTTATGTGTGTAATTAGAAGATGATTTGATTTAGACAGACTTTTCTTCATAAGCTGCTTATCTCGATATTTTCCAACAACGAAACTTATACGGACAGCTTTCCACCAAGCTGTTTGAAAACGTGTTGGTTTCAATTTCCCTTTTGTGAATTTCCTATTTCTTGAAGGCACCTTCCATGCATCCTCAGTCTATGGTATTTACATGCCGCAGTTGATTCGGTATTCAAGGCCATGATCCCACTATCACGATTTTTGAGCAAGAAGTCGACAAACAGAAGGACAGACTTATAAAACAGGTTCTGATAGATGCAGGTTGATGGAAGTATGAGGAAGATCTATGGTCGCCATAGTGATCTCATTATACTGGTTAGTTCCGTTGTTCTGTACCTTATTCTCATTTAGAGGACATGGCATAGCTTACGTGGATTGATCAAGATTTACATGACGATCGACGTCGATGAAGGAGGAGACGCTTAATCTCCCGGAACACCCAAGCTTATTCTCTTTGTACTTTTTAAGGAGGTTTCGTGTGAAATTTTCATTTGGTCATATTTTGCTCAGGGTTTATTGAATATGAGTTTGAATAACGATTATACTGACATATTTTTGTTGTTTTTGTTTTACTTACTTGATATTACCTGTAACTGATAAACTCAAGGTTTTTGTGTTACTTTACCAGAAAGATATTGCAGACGTCGTTAAAAACTCCAACATAGGGTTTCAATACATCGAAATGGAAGGCCGGTGTCAAGAGTCGACGATTTCGTTCCCATTTTTTACCATCACTCATTAAAAGTCCATCACCTTGAGAACGTTATCGTAACAAAATGAATACATGAATAACACTGTATATGCAAGGCGGGTCTTTGCTATAAGGATCTGCTCTGGTGATGTTTTCGGTGTTGTAAAGTCTTTTGGTCTCAGGGAAATTAATAATAAAGTTCAGTACATATTATGTTAACTTATAGTTTCTTTTATATTTAAAATCGTCACTTTACCTTGAAAATGATTTGTTTTGTTTCAATCACAAATACGAATATTTACGACATGAGCCTCCCTTTGACCGCCAGACGAGGAACGTAAACACAACCGCGCTAACACTATCAGACAACAGGGCAACGTGACAAGATCAAGGCATGTCCACAAGAATTGGGTATACAAAAATATAATCGAGTTTTAATAAATGACAACAGCTTCAACATCTCAAACTTTTGCCCATAATGCAAAGTGACAAATTGTGAAGAGTTTATACATAGCTGAAAACCATCATGTGTCCTCAGTCATTAAGCAATTAAGATAGAATGAAGATACAGGGGAAACAAAACCTCATTGAAAACATTGCAATTTGCTCGTAATTAATCCAGTGATTTGTATTTCTCTTCTGCTACAACATTTAAATAATCATTTTATTATCAGTATTTCCCCAACTCTTGCTACGTTCAGCTCAGACATCACAAAAATGGCAGCTCTTTGCAGGAACAAAAGATAGAATAATTGGGTTATTCGAAAGATAGTGATTTTGACTGGTGCACCAGATCAAAGATGTTACCAGTATCACCATAGATTATAAGGCAAAATATGTTGGTGCAAACTAATAGTGGTGCAACCCCTCTAGGCCTACTATGTATTCACTGCAAAAGAGGACTTTTTTCAAATTGATTGGAGAACTAATTAAAAGTCAACCATGCTTTTATCATAACTGGACAAAACATCAAATTTTTTGTTTAAAGAAATATTGTTTGTTAAAGTCTCTACATTCTGTGTCATCGGCATGGATTTTCATTGTTTAATTTCCATACCTTGTTCATATTTCATTTTGATATCATTTGTCACATAACAGGAGCATTATGATAGTATTTTAGCATTATAATAAAGATATATAGTGTTGCGTTTTGATGCACTTGATTTTTATCATGGCACTTGCTCTATTTGAAGCTTTTATAATTTTTAATCATCGAAAGAGTTATTGCCCTTTGAAAGTTGCAGAATTTCATACATATTAAAAAATGAAGTTGATTTATTTTTTGCTTATTTATACATATATTTTCTAATGTTTTGTTTCTTTTAATTTTACTTTTGTTTATGTAGATATCATGGCTTGTTTCATTTTTAGGCAGTTAAAATTCAAGATATCACAAATGATCATTATCAAAAACCAATATTGTGTAATAAGCAGTTCACTGATCCTTTGTTTCTATTTCATATTAATATGCAGTTATGTATAATATCCAATAGTGTTGAGAAAGACAAATGTTCGTCAGCAGAAATATGGTAAACTAATTCACATTTGAAGTTAAATGAAATAATGGTTTCTTTGTAATAATTTTATTTGCCATATATGATATTGACTGTGACAAAACTACATCATTTGAAGCTGGAAGGTTGTGTTTGCTTATTTGTTTTGAGAAAACAATATCAGGTATTAAATCAGAAAGGAACACATGACGATACATGCTATGAAATACCACAAAGTATGAACACTTTACAAAAGATGAAGTTCAGGAGCATGCCATGAAAATACTAGCAAACTGAAATATCGTTTTTTTTTTCAATTTTGATATCTTTATATTATCCCTTAAAATGAGGTAAGGCTTGTAAAATGTTCATTACTAGAACAGAAGACTTTTCACAAGAGCAGATCCTTAACTAAACAATTCTAAACTAGAGAATAAAATCATACCAGTAAAATTTCCTTTTAAACATACAACAGATTCATGTATGTATATCTATTGAATTTTCGAAGTGAAATGTTAAGCTTCATGGTGAATAAAAATCATAAGTTGTGATATTGTCACTCAGACCAATCAGATCACACTATTTGCATTGTACTTCAGGAAAGTCAACTCTAGTATAAACAGCCTAACGAAATGGTAAGAGACTGTATGAGAAGAAAAAAAAACACTTTTTGTAAACTTATCATGGACACGCGAATTCATTCAGTTTGCGAAAAAAGTTTTTTTTTTATCTTTTCATGCCAGCATGAAACTAAAAATATTCCTATCAAAGCTTAAATGAATACTTATAATCAGATAACATATAATAATAATAACAATATTAATAATAATAATAATGATATTAATAATAAGGTTGTAATTGATTCGTGGCAAACAGACGAAACAAATAATTAAAAAAATCTAATACAGGATTTATCTTGGATAATATTTCCTCTTTTTTCATAATCACACAAAACAACATTACGTTCAACATGTGTTTATAACAAAGGATAAATATGATGTTGGAATAAACGTACATACCTATCCAGTCTTTGAGGGTAAAGTAACCCCCTCCAACCTGTTTGGGCTTTGGCTCGGAAGTCTTCAAAATCACTTTCGCCGTCTCCGGATGACAAACAGAAATCACAGGGAAAAAGAACATTATCCAATGGGAAAGTATGCGACTTTTTGTTTTTCCAACTATTTGATGACAAATCTCGATGACTTCGTTAAAGTCTGCAAACTAAGCAAACACTTGTTTTACAATGATATATATTTTTTTATTTTTCAACATTGATATAAATATATATAGATTACTTAAGAGCTATTTAATGCACTTTCGAATTATCTACCCGACTACCCGGGGATATCACCGGATAATTTTGGCATACACTCAAATGAATACTGAAGTACACTATCATCAGGGATAATGATGGCATTAAACTATTAAGGTAGGTTGGACTTTCTTGAATTCACTCTATGCTAGGCTTACAATTGTTTGTCATACCGCTCGGAGTAGACGGTGTCGTCCATTTCAGCTCAGTTGTTTCGCTTTATCGCATAGATCAACAAAAGCAATAAAAATAAATGGGGGGAAATTTAAACAAAAGAAAGTTTTACACGATGGTTCATGGAATAGTACACAGTGAATAAGACCAGTTGTTCCGAAAGGATAAAGGTGTAATTTTACCGGGTAATCTTCCCGTAAGACTACTCGACGATTGACCGAGAGCTGGTCAGGGCTTGGTCTCCCGTGGTTGCACATGGTTGAGGGATGGTCTCCCCGAAAAAGAGATCGTAGCTCCATGTTTTCACATGTAAAGTAAACGAGTCTCGACCAATAACTCGAACAGAGAATGTCGAAAGAGCGAACAAGGTCGAGGAAAGGAAGTATTGGTCGTGCGACATTCAGAGTAAGAGCTAAGTCTTCTAAAGCGAGAACTGATTGCGTGCATGGTCGTGCCGCCCGACCCGTCCTCCACACTCGGTCGATCAATGTGATCAATATTCGCTCTTTTAAGATATAGCCACACTCCGCGCGACATGTCCTAGTCCCTTAGATCCTTGCGTTCCCAATTCTTCCCATGAGCACGATTGTATTAAGGAAAGAGGATTAAGATGCAACCTATGTAAGGTAAATGCTGCCGTATTTTTCTCATGGACACGACTGTCAATTAGGTAGCTTCATCTCCAATCCTCAGTTCCTTCATGAGGGATGTGTACTGACCATAATGTTCCCTCTGGAGTTCACACAGCCAAGGAGCAACCGACTATTTCTTTTTGGTATTCCTCTTTCTCCTCAACTTCAGCATGATAAACATAACCAGAGAGTCTTGATGCAATTCAGGGCATTCTGCCTTAAAAAACAGCATGAGGCGGAGCGATTGGGTCATTGTTGTCCATTCGGAGGATGGTCAAAAACTGATGGACGGCAACTGATCACCAGGCCTCTTTATACGGTCGCAGTGGGTCACACGGATATCCGGGTGACTGTGTGTACAGAGCGATGCTAGAAAGTTAAGATGGCATCTTAACCGTTTTGACTGAGGGTACGTTGCAACTCATGCGTAGTTAGATCGGCCGAGATTGAGTCTCGGTCTGCAGGTCAGGTAGAGAGTATATAGTGTCTCTTGAGCATATAAGGACACAGGCAGAGCGTTCAAATCGAAAGTCTGACTAGATAACATCGAACATCAAGCGTACACAGAAAGTAAAGGGTAAGTCGCAAGGACTTTACCCGCAACTACGGGAAAAACAGAGCAGCGATTATAGACACTCGTGGTTGTGTGTTATTTTGCCAGGTCTTTTTAAATCTTTGTAAATATAACTTAGTAATGGTACGTTCCTAAATGAGAACAATGTAAACAACAATGGAACCACAAGGCAAATTAACAAACATTAGACACGTCCAACTTATATATCGCACAAGGAAAATGAAAACATAATGATTACCGGTAAAATTCCCTATAATCCTCACCAGCCTGCATCTCTCGAAACTATATGTCGTTAGATTCTTTTTCTGTGCTTGCTGACGAAAATCGCGGTACTGAGAACCATTCCTTGAATAGCTTATCAACTGCTGCATGTAAATGGCATATGTTCCGGATGAACTTCACGTACACGGACCAGATTCTTTATATTCACTTAAGATATATTGTTGATGTCTTTCATCTACCATAATGTTGAAACCAGGGATATGCCACACTCTTGTACATATATCGCTAACTTCGATGTGTCGACGATAATACAGAAGACGTACACTCTTCCTAAACACTTTGTCTTTTTCTCCTTGTATGTTTACAAGGGTCTTCCTATAAAAAATTTCTTTTTTTTTAGTATTTTGCTCTAGTTTTATTGAATTATGATGACACGTTTGCAGTGTCCTGATTGTTTTGCAACCAACAGCGAAAGCGATTTCCTTGCTGAAATGTTGTCATATCTTGATATAAAAATCTTGCTTACTTACTTGGTTTTCAAAGGCTTTACCAGATTAAGCAGCTGACAGACCAATATATTACATTGCGTTTCGTAAGATGTAGTTTGATGATGACTACGAGAATACTTGTTGGTCGTTATAACGTTACCATTAGGATATATCATAATCACATGGGACAACAATCCTCTTCTTGATTGATATCAAGCTAGATGTGTTCGATTCACGTTGGTATGCTTGGTGACTTCGGTGTGTTCTCATGGTAGAACGTGATATTACTTTTATAGATTGATCAACATTTATATGGCGAGTGTTTTCGATAAGAAAAAGAAACGGTTACCCTATCGGAACCTATGGACTTTTTCTCCTTTTTAAACGGTCTCTTTGATTTGAAAATTAATTTCATTCTGTTGAAATGTCGACATACGTCTGTTAGTTGTGCTTTTACAGGGAAATAAATTCAATCATTATACCCACAGAAGAGCTAGCCATAAGGGGCATGCGAATCAATAAAACAACTCTAAATCCGGAAACTAATTGAAACCCAGCAACATCTGTCTTCTCCACTGTACATTGATTTTGACTGGTTACAAAGAAAAAAAATAATAAAATAAAAAACTGAAACACAATAAACTGCTGCTCTGTTTTTCCCATCGTAATGATAACACTTCAAAAAAAATACCAAGAGCCTTTTCGTATCGTGGTGAAAATGAATCGAAATAAACACATGTAACTAGGATTTTGAAAGGATAAGACAAAGAAGACATCCTCGCCTACGACAATGGATACACTTTTTATGAATTTCATTTTGTTTTGATGAAGATACGCGGCTTCAATGATAGTGACCTATGTCGTTATGACAGTTTGATATTCTGGTGATTATCAACAGATTTAGATAAATAAATAGATAGAATTAATAAATACAGTAGATGAAGAATATCAAACACTCGATAAAATTTAAACACTATATTATACCTATCATACCTGTAGTACATTCATATAAACATTTGGAGAAAGATTGATAACATCCCGTCTTACCTGGTTCAGATGTCCCCATATTGGATGAAACTTTCCGATGGGCAGTATGTTTTTTTCATTATATAAATCGATGTTGACCTTGTATCTGCGTACCAATCCTATAAGTTTCCATATGCATAAGGTTGATAGCAGAGTACCAATGGCGACAACGTAGACGTTCATCTTTATTAAGTAAGCAAACCACACATTAGTAAATTTAACGAGTTTATCCAAAGTGAATCAATAAATAAATCAATCCAAAAATTGATAAATTAAAATCAATAAATGAATCGTGGATAAACTAATCATCAAAATTTGAACATGATATTGATTACATTTTCGGATATGAATCAGGGGTAGTCACTGTTGTAATAATACAATGATAATCAGCCACTATCCTCTGATTAGTGGTTTTCTGATTGGCAGACGTCATTCCTGATAGGCAGACGTCATTCCTGATTGGCAGACGTCATTCCTGATTGGCAGACGTCAGTTCATGCTATCAACTGACTCCTGCACTGTATTGACGAAATACACATGGGTTTGCCATTCGCGCCAGTTAGAGTTTAGGCAACAGTGACTGCAGTATTTGAATACCTTCATTCATTACAATAAAAAAAGTTTTTGACTGTTGCTTATGTAGCGTAATGTATCTTTAAGTGAAAGTAATATCTAAAAAGGCCCCGATGATTTGCACATAAACCAGCTGATAAATCAATAGCAGCGTGTTGCTACGTCGTGTTCGCCAATGACATCGCTTCCTCTCGTACCTCATCGTGTTCGTCAAAATTCGCCATTTGCTTTTTTAGAGGTAACAGAGGATTGCTGAAGAACAATACATTAATTTGAAAAGGCCTTTGGAATCTAAAGTTGTTTTTGCAGCAATTCATTGTCGTGAATTTTAAAGTAGAAGAAAACGATAAACAAATAATTTGATCAACGTAGTCATAAGTGCAATGTTTACAGCACGTTAACGTTATCATTTTCATGCATAGTTTTAAAAAATGTTGAAGAAGAACGTGTGTAGAAAAGATTTGTCGTTAGACTTTGCTCGTCATTATTACGTGTACTTGTCAGCCCTACAAATTACATACCACTGCATTTTTGCACAAGAAGGCTACATATGTACATGGAACATTAGTTAGCCTAACTTGTTTCTAATCTAAATGGCTAACGACAAATGTCAGTTAAGTAAAAGTTGCGATAGATGACTGGTATATGCGTGTTTAATTAAAGTATTTTAGCCTGCTTGTCCTCAGACACCTCATTCATTTCATTCCACGGTGGGTGCGATCAACATTAATTTTATCTAATTATTAAAACGCTAACATATCGTTTTTGTTTAAGCAGCATAATCAACATTAGCACACTCTTTAGGATAATCTTGGCCATTCATTATTTAACTCACCGTATGTTTTGGTTTAGGTGATATCCGTGTAAGTCCGTCCTAAAACATTGAATATTATGTAATGAAATGAATGTGTCATGTGTCATGAAAAAACTGTTGACGTGACAAACAGAACGAGGTTATTTACATTAATGACAAAGCATGTACTGCTAGTCTTATTCATGGTTTATATTATATATTGCGAACACGTGGTAAAGTGTTGACTATAACGAAAGCATATATATATCCATGGCCAGCTATGGGGAATATATATGAACAAACAAACAAACAAACAAACAAACAAACAAACAAACAAACAAACAAAAAACCAGAAAAGAAGCGTTTTTGAAACACTATATCCTCACTTGCAACAAAATTCTGAAGTGGGGCATTAAAAAGTACTGTGTACAGCATATGCTAATTGCAAGCACATTTTGAGAAAAAGTTATGTCTGTATTAACTCATAAAAGGTCATTAGGGCCATCAAGCGATAAAACACACAGCGTATCCAAAAGGAAATTAAATTAAACAAACCAAAAGGTAACAGACAAATGTTAAGAATCTGAAATGGGTATGTTAACACAAAAGATTAAAATGGTGCGTCATAGACTATTATACAGACCAACATCTTTCAGGTAATGTAGAATTTTACAAATCTCAACATTTAAAAAGGATTTTAGACATGTAATGTTACGATAAAAATGTTCTCGAGTAGACAGAAGGTCATTGCAGTCCAATAAAAATGTTTAACGGTGAATAGTTCATCACATCCTATGCACCAAGGATTATCTCCGCCTTTCAACATATATGAATGTGTAAGGTATGTATGACCCATCCGAAGACGGGCAAGGGCAACTTCGTCTCGCTGGTTGTGATTTTTTTTCTGTCAAATGTAGGTCCCTCTCAAGTTTACATACCACCGACAAGGTCTTGTCACACAAAATATACATGCTTAATATTGAATTCATTG